TGAACAATGAGATGGAAGGGCCAAATACTATTTTTTTCTACATATGGAAACAGCCACTTAGCTAGCTCATCAGCACCCAGAAATAAATAATATCCTGCACAAACAAGTTAAGAGCAGCCCATCTCCAGAGGTGAAGCAGTTTAGAGAACAAACTTAGTTATGGAAGTTTTGCTTTGTTTTTTAAATGGGTGAATTGCAATTTGAACATGAAAAGGAAAACTGAAATTGAAGCATATACATGAAAGCTAAAGTTAATAGGTGACACCACTATGGACACACTATGTATGATGTTATTTTATGCTGATATCAAGCGGTAGTTTCTCTCAATGCCAATATATTTAAATAAGTTTTAAATTATTTTAAAAGGTAATAATTTTCTAGCATGAGGTATCATTTATCAGTTTTCTGTACCTGGAAAGAACTGCTCAGCATGCAGTAATACAATTTCTGTCATGTCTTTATACCTAACTGAAATGGAGCTGCCAACAAATAAATCTCAGGAAGATTATTAGCGTGGCAAGACCAACTTTTCAGAGCTAAGTTTTTTTATTTAGTGGTACATATCACTAGAGCCTTACTTCATCCTCTATACTTCTATGTATGGAACTCAGGTTAGATGTTTGATCTAAAAACTATTTTTATTTTCAGCCTTACTGTTTTTCTTTTTTGAGAGGCATGACTTCTTAATTTATTTTATTAGTTATTCCTTATTTTACAGTGTCTCTTATATACTTTCTTAATTGTATTTTTATTATTTTCAATATAAAATTGACAAAGCATATTGATAGAATATTTAACAAACAAAGAAATAAAAACATATTACCCACACATAATTCAATCCCCAAATAAATGAATTTTCAAAAAATTTTAAATACTATTTAGGGAAAGTTTAAAAATAATCCATTCCTATTCAGTACTTTTTTCAAGAATAGAAAAGCATAAGTAAAAAAGTCACTTACTGTTGCATTGCTCCCAATCATATTCAGAGTTTTGTATATATTGATCCAATTTTTTTTCTATTTGTTTATTTGTTTGCACAGCTGTACTCAAGTCTTGTGGTATACCCTGCTTGAGGAAATCCCTTTCGTGAGGAATTTCCTGTATCTAATTATACCATTATCTCCATAGTAAGAAATCTCATAATGAAATAAGCACATCAACCCATTCACATTCTCACATGCTAATTAGTGACTGATTCAAACAGCCATCGTTTCTGAGATCACTATTTCTTCTCAAGACGTTTGCAATAAACTGATAATGAGCTTAAGAGTCACTGAGGGAAATTCAACAGTTCGTCGTTATACCACAGCCTCCCCAATTTTTATCTTTTCTTTTTTTAATTAAATTTATGGGGGTGATATTGGGTAGTAAAATTATATAGGGTTCAAGTGTATAATTCTATAACACATCATCTACATATTGCATTGTGTGTTCACCACCAGGGGTCAGTTCTCCTCCCATCACCATATATTTGACCCCCTTTTCTTTTCTTTTTCTTTTTTTAATCTATTTCAGGCAGTTAACTGGCATTTTCAATACATCATTGTAAGAAGATTATGTGTTTGGTATTTTTCCTAAATCCTTGAAAATTTGGGAATATTCTTTTGATGGCTTTTCATAGCAAAGATAATTTAACTGGCTCTTAAATTCTTGGATCCCGTCTTTTCTTTCAGACCTACACGTGTCTTTTTCATGACCGTGCCAGTTAAGGTTTTCAATTGCAAACAATAGAAACCAGTGCTGGCTAACGTAAGCAGAAAAGAAATTCACTGGAAGTGTGTTTTTTGAACTACAGAATAAAAGACCAGATATCAGGTAGAAACCAAAGCAGGGGTTAGGCAGTTGAAAACACTGCCAACGTCATGCGAAAAAAATAGTGTGTTTGTTAGAGTTATGGAAAAGGGACACTGGGACATTTGTTTCTGCTGCTGCTGTACTCAAAATTCCAAGATACTGCCAACACTGAAATCTTTTTCAGTGTCCATGGTCTTAGCAAGAGTCAAAATCCCACTGGGAGCATTTGATTGGCTGACTACATCATGTGACCTACAAAGGGTGGGGAAAGGGAATTCCCTGGTTTCACTTGTTTTCTGCTTCCCACTAAGGTAATAAAGAATTCCTCCCAAAATGAGGGACAGCATTCAGCCCCTAAGACCAAAATCTGACAAATACCCACTGCAATTATCTTCTAGCCTTAGCATAGCTGAGAAGCCTGACACCAGTCTGATTGTATCCCTCTTTTTATAACATATTGGTTTAATTAGTCTGAATGCTTGCAGAGTTTTTTCTTCATACTAGGAACTTGACATTTCAGACAGGATACGTCTATATGAATTTCTCCCTTCATTGACTTTGCTTGATTTGCTCACCTAGGACATTTTTTTTTCCTCCAGAGGACAATTATGTTCAATTACATCTTTCACTACTTCTTTACTTTCCATTGTCATTGATTATATATCTATAAACGCTTTATGCCTGCAAATCTTAGATTGAAGTTCCATTTTCTGCATTATAACTTTAGATACAATGGTTTATTTCATCAGATAGCCATAGCATTTCAACAGTGCATTCAACTATCAGATACCACATTCAGATGGCTACAATTAGCTAGAGCCTCTTATATTTTATTAAATAGCGTCATCAGTTCTGGAATACATTTTTGTTAGATTTTCAAAACATCTTTTTTTTTTAAACCAAATTGGCACCTCAAACTCAAGGCAACTAGAGAGGCCATAAATTAATGCCACTAAACAGTTTTACAACACTAGAGATTATATAGACTAGCCAATAATCATGTCATGTCATGTGTTTTTATACTTACACTTTTTATATGTGATAACACATTACCTCAAGACTTCTTTAAATCATGGGATAATAATCACTCTATTTTACCAAAAAAAGAGAGTCAATGGCTTCCTTTAAAGATATACACATCTAGATCATAGGGTTCCATCTGTAGATTCAAATGCTGTTTTCAGAAAATATTGTCCATGAAACTCCCTGGGAGGTCTGTTGTAAATGCAGATTCCCAGGCCACACACCCAGCCTATGGAATTGGAATCTCTGGATGTAGAGTTAGAAATCTGCTCTTTAAAAACTAAGTTCCTTGCCTAATTCTTTAACCATAAAGGTTTGAGAATCACTGTTCTAATTCACTAAACGGAATACTAATGGACTAAAATGTTAACTTGGGTAGACAAGGAAGGCTCTGATTTTATTTTACAATCCCATTCTAAGGGACTTAGAAAGAGGGTAAAGAACCAAGATCAAATTTCCAAAGTCCATTAGCATTTATTCTATCTGAAACAATCAGTTTGGTAAAAATAGTTTCAAAATTCTAGTCACTCAAGTTACTACTGGGATTGACTCACATTATCTAGGCAGTTTACCATGTGGAAATGTAGTGAACTTTTACAAGGGCAATATTTCCCTTGAGGTTTCATCAGATCAACTAACAAAAGACACACATTCACATCTTAGAACATATCTCAACTACGAGGGAGAAAACTAGAATCAGATGTCAGCCATTTTGTTAACTTTCAAGGTAGTTTCATTTTCCTGCCATTAATAACATTCTAAGAGCTAGCCTTGAAACAACTGGTCAGTCTCGTAGATAACCTTGTTTAAAATATCATCTGAGAGTGTCACTTCAGGCATGATATAAAGTTGTTTCTAGTACCATAACCAAATAGCCAGCCCCAATTCTGATGTAATCAGTTTCCCACATCAAGAATTTGAAATGAAATATTCTGCTGAGACAGCAACCGAACCTTTTAGCTTAAAAGTGAAAAACCACCAACAGTAATTTGCTCGTTACATTAAGACTCCCAGCTGGTCTATAGACATTTAGAAGCCAAATATGAGTCTACTGAAAGAGCTACATTGGACCAGTTTCTGATCTTAATTTGATGTTCCCGAATAATATACATATTCAGTAGCCATTCAACCATTGTTAATACACTTGTTTTCAGCCTTCTGAGTATTTTGTATATGTAGACATAATTCAAGTTTTGCTTACATTAATTTTCAATAAGCACTGTGTGTGTGCATGTGTGTGTATGTATGTGTGTGTGTGTGTGTGTGTGTGTAAGATAAGTAAGATAAAAAGAACTCTGCTAAAGTTTCAACAAAATTTCACCAAGATGAGAAACATCTTAAACCTCAATTAAAACAATACAAGTAAATTAGTTAGCTATGACAATAATATAATACTCAAATTGGGAAAGAATTTTTGAACCAATTTTTAAAATATTAGATTTTCTTAAAAAGCCACATGATAGACTGGAGAATTTAAAACCATTAAATCATACAAAGACAATTTCTATTCATACACGTATTCTCTTAAAATAAAAGTTTTCGGGCCGGCCAAGTGGCACATTGGTTAAGAGCTGGGTTGGGATGCCAGATGGCCCCAGTTCAGATCCCACATATGAGGGCCAGTGACACTGCCCTCTACAGCTAAGATGCTGAACTACAGCTCAACCTGGAGCTGGGCTGCTGTGAGTCGCAAACGATGGGCGTAGGCTGTAGCCCCTGCTATAGTGGGTTACCATGGGCTACCGTGTGTAGCCAGCAGCCACTGTGAGCGGCTGTCCAGAAACCGGCGACTGATCTGCCTCGCCCGGGAAGAGCACAATGATGGTGCCAACTTGGGCCAGTGAAGCAACGTCCTCCACAACTAGACTGAAGAACAAAAGGACAGCAACTTGTCTGTTCCCCTTCCCCCAATTTCCCAATAAAAATCTTTAAAAAAAACAAAAAAAAAGTTTTCAACTACTAGGATTAGATGTATTAGTTTTAAAGTCCCCTGTTTATTAATGGTGTTTTCATTTCCAGGTTAGTGAGCTGTAGACTACTCAGGGTCCACAACCTTGAGTTCTATCGTTCAACCTTAATTGTCTGGGTTGATACTGTTGCTCTCAGATCACCAATTTACGAAAATAGAGACCAAGGAGGGAAATAGAGACGCTGTCACTCAGAAGTTACCAGAAGCACAGTACCTTGCACTGTGAGGAAAACGGAGGCAGCTGATGATCCACCTTCGTTGGAAATCCGACAGTGGTACTCCCCAGCATCAGTGAATTTCACAGTCCTTAGCTCCAAGGAGAGGTTCGCCAAGATCCGCGTTCTCGCTGGGTCAGCCAGTCTGGCATCTCTGTCATTCCTCTGCCAGGTTAGATTGTAACCCACTGCGCTGATGACGAGACATGTCAGAACTGCTCTTTCTCCAGGCATGACTGTTACATTATTAGGCACTTGGATGACTGGAGGGGGCTCTGTGTGAGACGAAAAGATTCAAATCAAGAGACCCCAAAAACCATTTGCTCACTTCTAGACATGGTTTAAAAATGTAATGAGTATATACTGAATAGCTAGTAAAAAAGATGCAGTATAAAAGAACTAATTTGTTAATACTCGTCTATACCACAAGTAATTTATCCTCTATTGAAAGATGCTTTAAAAAGTACAGCATATTTACATATGAAAGTATATTCATATCTAAATCTATAAATTATAGATGGCCGAATCAAAGAAGCATGGCAAAGGGATATGGCTAGACTGATTTAGGATTGTAAAATAAGCCACATCTCGATCTGAATTTTGAAGAAAGTAGACTTTATGATTTTCTTTAATTTAAAAATACTTATTTAGTATTTTCAAGAAAATAGCACATAAAGTATGGTAGATATGACAAGGATATAACAAAGATATGACAGTATCAGCTTTGGGGAGGGGTAGGGTCACAATCTCATTAAGACACAATACTATAACAGTAGAGTCAGACAAACGTTCCCCCAGCGGGGAATAAGGGACATTTTGATTTAAGAAGGTCAAGTTAACAGTAGGGATAGAACTTTCATAAAATTGTACACATAGAACCGTGTACACAAAAGGCATTGACTAACGCATGCTCATTTCAGATGTGGTCAAAAGCCACTTGCTAATTAAATATGGAACCAACATTTCTAGAGAGAACCACTTACTGCTTTAGTTAAGTTAGAGAATAAATCTAAATACCACTCTAAAGCTCCCTGTGCCCAAATGCCTTAAAATGATCTGCTGTAGCAAGCCATTATTGGGTAATAATACAGCAATAAAATGTGTGGTGAGCTACGCCAGCAGGAAACCCATATGTCTGTTTTAGTTTAACTATGAAAGAGTATCACATATTCAAATTATCCTTCTTTATTTAAAACGCCATATAAATGCAAATGAATATCATAAGCCTCGAATAAAACCTGGAAGCAATATACCAAAACCACAGCGGTTATCTCTGAGGGAAAGAAATATGTATATATTCCAGATTTTCCTGTATTTATCTTTCCCAAAAATTTTTAGAGGAGTACTTGCTATTTTAAATTATAAAAAAGTAAACATTTTTTTTTATCATTCTGCTCTATTTTTTAAATCTTTTATGACAAGAGCTGGTGAATCAAGTGGAAAGGGTACATGGCAATGTTAGGAAGCTCTGATTGGGGCCTGCCTAGGTTGGACAGACAAAATACAGGATGCTTTGTAAAATGTGAACATCAGATAAACATCAAATAATATTTAACTATGTCTCATGAAATACTGGAGACATACTTACATGAAATTCAAATGTAACTGGGCGCCCTATGTTTTTATTTGCTACATCTACAGGCTGCCCTAGTTCTATCCCCAATTAGTGGTGACCTTAGATGAGTGAATTTACTCAGCATTTGTTTCCCTATCTGAAAAATGAGATGATTGAATTCGGTAATCTTAGAGACCACTTCTAGCGCTAAGGTTCTATGATTCTAACAACATGGCATAGACCAACAAGGACGTGGAAGTGATTATTTGTGTGCATGTGTTCACACTCTATCAAAATCCGTCTGAAGATCATAAGATGTTTTGTGTAGTTTTCTTTTTTGTTCTTTTTACACAAAGTTCTTTAATGAGACTAGGGATTTTATAAGGTTTTTAGGAAATGCAAGATCCATGCGATGAGCATCTAGGAGATGCTGGGTGCATAGTTAGAGCCCCCTTAAAAACCAAGACACTCATTTCCCCAGTTGCTGTGTGTGTTGGCTTCTGACAACGCAGAGCCAGGGGAGCTAACATGCTCAGGGTCAGGCCCCCTTTCTAGTAGAGCCCACTTCCAGTGACCACGTGATAGGGGAACACAGGCCCAGGTCTCTCGCCTCAACTCAGGGTCATTCCAGCTCTCTGCGGGATCAGCTGAGGCGTCTGTGGTGACTACATCATAATCTAACTTCTTTCACTTCCCTTCTGCCCTTACAGGTGCTTCTCCCTAGAAAACTCTCCAATAACCCTTTTCCATGAAAAGTCTGCCTCAGAGTCTATTTCCTCTTCAAATATAAATTCAAATATGCAAAATGCCAACTTCCTAAGAACATACAGTGATAGCTGAGATTTGAAATAGGACATAGGATACCACCATTGCATAAATATCTAGAGACAATAAATATGCACACTGAATTATTTATGAATACCTAAATAACTTTGCTGAGGATGGGGAAGATAAAGAAGGAGCAATTACAGCAGCTTGCAAAAGAAGCCAAGATGACAAATGACTAGAAATAGCCTGGGCCTGGGAGTAGGAAGGGTAGTCATTCCTTAGTGAAAACAATTGACTGAGGTGGGATTAGAGGACCAGAGACAGAACCTCAAACCTGAGAGAGAAAGAATGACAAGCATAGGCCTTGTCACATTAGGTAAACGTCACTGGACGGAGAGTCAGGAAGCCAGGAATCTACTTCTCACTACCCACCCATCATAAATGGGTTACTTGCCTTCTGTCTGGGCTTCAGCCTCTTTAGCTATAAAACGCTGAGGTGGTGTAATATCATTCCCAAACCGTATCTTGTTCTAAAAGAGTGTCCTGTAATTTTAATATTTCCTGTCACTGACATGCTCTTGACAAGTTTTCTCTATTCAGTATTTTACTTAAACCAAGTATTTTACTTAAACCAAGAAAGTACTCTGTGTGTGTGTGTGTGTGTTTGTTTGTGTGTGTGTGTGTGTGTGTTTGTTTGTGGGTGTGTGTGTGTGTGTGTTGGGGAAGGGGCATTGTGTTAATAAAGAAATCCAGTAGAAAAAATTAATATACTTTTGTAATAATACTAAACTAAACTACCAAATGTCATTTGAAAAGAATTCTCTCTTCTTCTGCAGTTTTATTCATTAGTTTCTATGTGTATATATGTGATTAAAGAGATGTATGATGCTTTTTATACCTATTTTGCATTTAAAACAATCAATAACCAAGGTTTCCAATGAACCAAAAATCTTTCAACATGTCAGCTAAAAGAAAATGCTGAATAAAAAAATTAAGGTAACATAATTGGCAGAACTTTAGCTTTTCTTCAAACTGCTCCTGGGTGACCTTTGACTTCATAAAATAATGTTCACAACGATACAAACATGCCTTGTTTCCTAACCCTCCTGTCTGAAATATAAGACGGAATCATCCTATGAATTCGCACTTGATTCCAGTGTGTAGTAAGTTAAATGGGGTGGCTGAGCTGGGACCTCAGCCTAAACTAAGATTCAGAAGGGGGCTAGGGTCTGAGGCTGGAAAGTTAAACAAGAGGTAGCCCAGAAAGAAATGTCCACTCTGTCAAGCCCAAAGGGGCAGTTAGTTGCTTGATCCTTCTGCTGCTATGGTCATTGTCACTACTATCAATACTTCTGTCTCCTGTTTTCATAATTGACTGAGTGGGACACCATTCCTGAGAATTGGCGTAAGTGCAGTACAACTTCCTAGTGATACCACTGCTTGGCTGGCACATATTCATCCAAGAAGGGCATGTGTGGAACACATACAGAAGTTACTGACACCAGACAGCCAGATTCTTCACAGTCAGTTCACAAGTTCTTCCTGGCGCTTCCCCGTTATTTATGTATGATGTCTGAATCAACTCACTCAAACCCCTGTTCCTGTTGTCCTTCCCTTAATTAATATTGCTGGGAAACCAACTCAAATACTCAAATGTTTGTTTTCTCAGAAGCTGAGGAATGTTGACACCATTCCAATGCTTTTCATAATTACTGGAGATGAAAAAAAATAAATACTTTATGATGCATGTAAACTTGCTAAATTGTTCCAGAGGAAAAACTTTATTTTTCTAAGAATCAGAGACTACAAATAATTTACTCCAAGAACATGCTTGCATGCCTCCGTTTTAAAGTTCAACTTGAACTTATTGATATCAAACATAAATCCTAGGCTTCTAAACAGTCCTACAATTATAAAGCTTCTTTTGTCTTAAATTGTCTCAAGAAAATGCATTAAAATCATGTATGGACATTGTTATAAACTCAGCCGCCACATTTAGGGCAGAAAAAGGTGACTAGTATACACACAGCAACCCTCGTCTACAAGTCAGATAGAAAATAATTCAGTCAAAACAGTTTCCAATACATTCTAAATACATGCTGAGTAAGTGGCTTCAATTCTGGTCATTGATTATATATGGTAGTTTTTGTTAGTTTCCTGAGAATTCTGGGAGATTAGTGGAAAAATGATTTTTTTCACTAGAGGATGTTCTGTCTTATAAAAGAATGTGAGCCTGCCTCCCATTTATTCATAGGAAACATAATATCTACATGTAAAACAATGAGCATATCTTCTGCCCTTCTTAATACCGATATTGTAGCCACTGAGGTTCTGTGTTCCTCGAATGTGGTCACTTTCATAATTGTCTTCAGTTTAGATGTCAGAATCCATTCAGAAAAGCACTCTAATCATTACGAATATGGGAGAGGGAAAAGGAAAGTTTCACCGTTATTATCAGGATAGATCCCTTCCTTTCTTAATTTTATTTTCTCAAAGGAAAATGCTATATGGTCACTTCAAAAAATATTAAGACCTTATAATAACAATGATAATGATAACAACAACAACAATCTAATAACAATAGCTAATGTCTATTAAGTGCTTCTATGTGTCAAGTTCTCTTCTAAACGCTTTCTGTATACTATCTCATTTAATCCTCACAGTTTCTCCATGAAATACTGTTACTACTATTATCGTCAAGTTATAGTAAGGGAAACCAAGGTACTGAGTCCTTAAATAATTGGCCCAAGGTCACACACCTCATACGTGGTGACGCCAGGATAAGTAAACTTTGCATTTCCATAGCTGCATTAATACTCTGGCAACTGCAAAGCAATTGGCGACAATTACCTGACACATCAAAAAACGTCTGTGCCCGTCCAGTACCTGCACTGCTGACAGCAATGCACTCATAGAATCCTTCATCAGGCAGAGTGACCTTTTCAATATCCCAGTTTACACTGGCAGATTCTCTGAGGGAAGACAATAGGAACACTTTTAGTTACTATAACTGTTGAAAGCAGTGATTCCACTATTTGTTTTGAAGTATTCATTGAAAAGAACGACGTGAAAAAAAATTGCTTAAGCTGCACAGTTCTTTATAGCTTGAAATTGCATGCATTTTATATTTTAATTAGAAAGTTAAGCTTCTCTGCTCTGAGCAACAACACAACAAAGACAATAAGTTATAGAGATTGTAAATTTCTTTAGGGAAGTATTTTCTGGCTATGTCAAAATATAAAATAAAGAACTGTTAGAGAAACACTCCTTAAATCCTCTCCCCTTCCTCTGTCACTTCCGGTTTTGGGTCATGTTCACTGAGGTTCTTAAACAAAGAAATTCAACCAGTTTCAAGGCAGGTAATGGGCTTTTTTACTCCAAAATATAAATTCTCTTTAACTTTCTTATAGATAAGCTTCACATAAGGCTACAGGCCACATCTGGTTCAATCTATGCATACAATGAGAAAATTAGAAAATTATGTTTTACAGTCAAACTTGTCATTTAGGTAAAAAAAAAAATCCCTTTACTATATTGTGTATTCACCCATTTAATAAATATATACTTTGTTCTCTAACAGTGTTCAAGTTAGTTCTCATTTTCTGAAAATATCTTAGTAATAGATATTGAATCCTTATTTAAAAGATTGCAATAATCTATAAAATAGGCATTATATTATATAAAATAGGCATATTGTTTTAAAATATGATCAAAATGTCATCAATATTTTCATAATTTTTTCATATAATCACTCACAGCTATCTACGACTTTTTTAAACATTCAAGATATAGGTAAGCTGAAAAGCCCATTAGAGTCCAGACACCTTCCACTGAAGTCAGAAAGTTCTGTCAAATATAATACCTTGCAGTAATAACTCCAACTCTCTTCCCAACCACACAAAACATACTCATCATCAAACAAATCACAAAGGACTAACTGAGCACTTAGTGTATATTTAGCACTAACCTAGGGTTTGTAAGAGAAAGTTAAGGCACAGTTCCTGCCATCAGAAAAGTCAGAAACTTAATAAGATCACCGTTCTATGTATTTTAGTAACTGAGAAGAGTCCCTCCAGTTAACATTGTTTACTTTCAGTTGTGTGTGCACTAGGCGCCAGGGGTCCTTGCTGGCACAGTCAGAAGAAACGTGAACATGACTTGACTCTGCGCTGTACTAATCACCTAAGCTGTACCTTGAATGCCTAACAGCAGTACGCTAAGCCCAAGCTTATAAGTGTCATGGTCTAGAAGGACTGGTGAGTCCCCGGAAGGCAGGAATTTGAAATGCATATGCCTTTTGTGTCCTCTGCAGTGCCAACTTCAGAGACAACATATATTAGGATTCACCAAAAACTCGACACGTGGAAATTTAGAACAGAAAGTGACAATTCTTCTAGTCCCAAGTCCCTCGTTTTAAAAAAAGAGAAAGTTGAGATCCAGGAAGACGAGTAAATTTGTTCAAAGGCATAGGACCCGGGTACAGATTGCTTGAAGGGTATTCTTCCAAGTTATCCTAGTTCCTCTCCTATTTATGAAATATCACGTGAAAATAATTCTCTCTTTCATGTAGCCTTCGCCGTTGATGTTATGAAAATATGGCCACAATAAAAAGTTTTGAAGAGATGGCCTTTGGAATGGGGGAAAGGGCACGTCAAATAAAAACACATTCTGCTGCTGATGCAAACTAATTCTCGTGCATCCCCCTACACAGCGTCGTGATTCATGCAACAGAGATTCAGTCATATGTCTCAAGTTCTTAGGAAATTCGGGGCAGAGATGTGCGAGTGAATCAGGGTTAGGGCCTCCGTCATCATCCTTGCTTAATTCTGCCTTTAGCCTCTCACATCCAAAAAAGCTTTAATATGTGTCAGCGAGGCATGTTACATCTCTGGTCATAGAGTCGGAAAAATGAGAGAAAGAATTCTTGTGGCTTACCTCCCAGAAATTGCATGGAATGAATGAATTAATGTTTATAAAGAGCCTTATGACTTTGAGAAATGTGACTTTTTAAACACAAAGCAGAATTGTTTGATTTCATCAGTCAGTTATGTAGCTGCATCATTTGATATCCTGGTCAGTTGTGTTTAATTTATGGTTATTAAATATGCAGCTAAGTAAATTGTCAAGATGCACAATGTGAGAGAAAAAGTAGCAGGAAATAATACAGTTCAGTCTTTAAGTAATGGAAAAATGTCTAAAGTGAGAATGAACATTTCGGCCATAGTTTCGATTTAAGATGGCCCCCCATAAAGAGACTGCATAAACTAGACTGTCAAATATTTACTATCTAATGGAAGTTATTTATATTAATATTGAATTAACAGCATAAAAATTTTATAAATAGTTCCTACAGCTTTTCCCAAAATGTAGTTTGTTTCACAGTAAGCTAAAAAAAAAACCCGTTTTCCAGAAATCATCCTCTAGTTGTCAAGGTCTACTTAATTTTTATGATTTGATTACTTAGATGTGTCTTAAAAAGTTCCCCATCTTCAAGAGGACAGTTGGAGCCCTCCTGCCCACTCCTGTTATATGCAGTAGTCACACTGGCTTCCGCTCCACCTGTCGCCCCACCCCCAGCACACACCACTTTTCCCTGGCCCCCCTACATTTCTCCTCCTGGCTCCCTGGGCACCAGCCACACTGGCTTCCTTCCTGACATCCTTCCCCACATGCCCTGTTCACTCCAGCCTTCATGCATTTGCTGTTCCTGGTGTATGCACACCCTTCTCTGGATATCTGCATGATCATTTCTCTCATCATGTTTAGGTCTTTGCACAAATGCCCCTTTACCCTGAATTTTAAAGCTGCACCTGGCACAGAACCATATGCACCCCACTCATCCCAATTAACCTGCTCGTCGCTTTGCCATAACACAGATCAGCTTCACTTATCACAACAGTTTAAATCAGATTCAAAGACATCTGTATCTGGGAACCAATAAAGCTTAAGCTTCAGTGCCTCTCGTGTGCAAAGACTCCTCCAAGATTCGGTACCTAACTTTGTATTTGTAATTTTGTATTCTTTGTCTTCACAAGGGACCCTCAGATTGTTTAAAATTCAGATTCTGTAAAACCTAAATCAACTCTTGAATGCATTCTAACATTTATTATATTAACATAGTATATTCATCATCTGTTTTCTGTACAATATAAACTCCAGAAGGGCACAGGCCTGGGTCTGTTTTGTTCACGGCTCTATTCCAAGATTGTGGAGCAAATACATGAGACTTTCCAATGAAAAAGTACATTCAGCTAAGCATCTTTTACAAATAAGTAGTGTTTGTATTGCAGTGCTTAATGCTACAAGTTATTACCGATAGAAACATTTACACACTTTAAATACTGGTCTACTCCGAGTGTAATTCCATTTCTGACAAAGCTCAGGGTAAACGGCAAAAGACTCTCCACGGAGCAGGGAATTCGGCCCGGCTGCAGGTAATATCCTGGGGTCTTTCTAGGCATTGTCACTTTGGGAGCATCTAGAAAAAAAAGAACATGGCAATAAGGTCATGATGATATTCGGTACTTCTTGTTAAGAAATCCAGAAGCTTCAGACTTAAACTATTCCAGTAAATCCTCTGCGTTCCAATTCCTCTAAATCACTAAAAATCACTTTACTGATATTTCTTTGATCACAGCTTATTCATTTCATGATCTCCATGAACCTCTTACTAAGGAATTCATTGAATCTAAGATGCCACTGATTTAAAGACGTGACATTATTTTTTATGCCACCAAAATAGGAAAAAGAAAAACTGTCAAATTAGTTATAATATAACACTCATTGTAGAACACATTTTGATTTCAAAAATGTAAATATATGAAAAGAACCCACATCTTAGAATTGGATTCATAGGGTGACTGTTTTCCTAAAATGCATGGAAAAATTGATTTCTAAAAATCCAGTAGATTTTAAAGTATTCAGTTTAGGGGCTTAGGCTTCTAACTTTGTATACTGTATATGAGGAAATACAGAGGTTGGTTCTATTCTCACCATTCTATAACTATTCAACAGTAGCTATAGAGTTGTTCCTAAATTTCCCAAATCACAGCCTTGCGTATAAATGATCAGTTGTCATTCCTCCATCCAATAGTACAATATTAGAAACAATCCTTCTATATCTGTCTACAGTTCTAACTCCAATTCTAAAGTTTTGAGAAGAGTTCAGTAATCAGCATTAAGAAATAGCTCAAGGGCTGGCCGAGTGGCTCATTGGTTAAGAGTTGGCTTGGGAGCACAAACTCTGAGCAGCAGAGCCACCGGTTCGGTTCCCACATGAGGGCCAGTGATGCTGCGCCCTCTATAGTTAAGATGGTGAACAACAGCTCAACCTGGAGCTGGGCTGCCGTGAGTCACCAGTGATGGTGTAGGCTGCAGTGGGGCTGCAGTGAGCTTCTGTAAGCTACTGTGAGTGGCCGTCCAGTGGCCAGCAGGCAGAGACAGATTTGCCTCACCAGGAAAGAGTGCAATGATAATTCCAACATGGGCCAGTGAAGCGACGTTCTCCACAACTAGACTGAAGAACAAAAGGACAGCAACTTGTCTGTTCCCCTTCCCTGATTCCTCAATGCTGTTCCCTCCCCCAATTCCCCAATAAAATCTTTAAAAAAACAAAGAAAAGAAAAAGAAAAAGAAATAGCTCAAGTGCAGACAAATTAAAATGCTACCTGATGGCTCCAAATAATCTCTAATCTGAGCTCACACCTCTATATAATATAATAGCAAACATATAAGTAACTAGTTTACTAATTAACTAGACAACTTAGCAAATAAAGGCACAATCACCCCAAGTTGTTTACAGTAAACTACTGTTCAAAGGTAAAAGTTTTCTAACAATTGTGCATAAACATTTAATCCATTTGGCCAATGTAGATAGCTTAATCCAACATTAAACACAGGTGCCAAGTTTTTTAGGGAGAATGAGAGCCCCAGAATTTGCCAGTTCCTTCTGTTATATTGACTGAAGTAATTAAAAATTTCAGATGCACAATCAGTGACTTCCATTAAACTTTCGATGTGTTATTTCATACTAAGTGTAAATGTTCATCAATTCGGTGGCTCAGTAACAACATGAGGACATTATTTCTGATGCTAAAATCTATTCCTGTAGGACCACATCACCCTCTTAAGCGATGAATAAAATGATGTCTTACCTGGGACAATACTAGAGAAGGAAACACTTGATACTCTCTGGAAGAGATAATCATCCTTATCATAACCTGCTATTTTGAGGAAGAAAGCTTCATTCGGTGGTATAAAGTCAGAAATATTCCATATGCCATAAGGTTTTCGATCTGGGTAATATTTTACAGGAATGGTCTTAAGCGAACTGCCTGAGATACTCAGAAGTTCAAGACGATCTATCCTAGCTGGTACGGAAATTCCAGAAGTGTTTAGGAGCACATAGGTAGGTATTCCTACAAGAGAAAGACATTGTCATTATTTACAAGTAACAATTGAGGTTTGCTATCAAATACGTTTTTACATTATAATAACAGATAACAGGTACCAAAATTATGAGTACTACAGGTTGCCCTACAAATTGTGGCCTGGTTGTGAAATCTTTTCTACATTAAAAAAAAAAAAATTTATTCATGACCAGAGAAACTTAGGAAATCTTAAGAGACTATTTTTTATAATACTTTAACTATGCTTACATAGAAAAACTAGAATTGTGAATGTTGTTATAGGATGTTTGAGTACATGAATATTTTTAGAGATTCACTATCTGTATCCTTCCAGTAACTGCAGCAATAAATATAAATGAACAACCAGAAAAAGAAATTTAAAGAGTCACAGTAGGATTAAGCATTTTTTATAGCTGTAAAACTACAAATAATCATTCACGAATAAAACAAAAGGAAGAACAAACTTTAAAAATCAGCAATAAGTTCACTTTGGATCTTATAATGATACATGTTGTCTTTCATTTTTCAGCCATATACCACATGCACAAAATCCACATTTTCACCTTGACAACAAGGAGGTTTACATATGTTAGTGACAGAAAGTTGCAAGATGTAGGTCAGTAGTTTTCAAAGTTCAGTAAATATAGGAATCAGCTCCTTAAAGTGCATGTTCCTGGGCCCCGCCTCCAGTGGGTCTAAGGCAGGCGATCCGGGGCAGGGGCCAGGAATCTGAATTTTTGACCACCTCCCCGAGCGATTTCATTATCACTGGTCTTGGAAAACAGTAACTGGCCAAGAGTGCAGTCATGTTCAAAGATGTGGCGTTTCCCAATTTTATTGAATACTACAGAATTATAAAATCACCCTCATTCTGAGAAATGTTTTCACTTGGATATCTGCCATGCCAGTTTAAGTAATAGGCACATACAAACCTTGTACTGGTCTGCTGACTGTGTTTTTGAAGTCCAAGGTGGGCTTTCGGGAAAAACCAGCTCGGAAATCAATAGTACTGAGGCCAGTGATGCGAACCGAGTGCCTTCCACTGCTCGAAATCTGAAAAATGTTGAATGACAAACCCGATCAGTGGCTGCTCCAGGAGCTGGTCACACCAAACACCAGTCTAGGAAACTACAGAGCGTTTAATAAAGATGGAGGCCCAATAATTCAGGTTCTGATCTGAGCATTCTGAACTGAACTATGATTCTACGGAAGGTGCCAAAAAAATGTGTACACATTTTAAGAAAGGAAAAAAACTGTATTAAAGTTGTAATACTCAATATATACTGATAACAAAAAATGAATACAAGTCATATGTATACATTTTTCGGGCACCCTCGGTATATCTTAAATACATGTTTTGTAATACATATCCCAGGGGAGTGCTGTAAAATGCAGTTCAGTAATACACTATGTGCCCATCAGTAAAAGACACGGGTGTTTAGTCACTAGTGAATGAACCTGCAGTGAATCTGTAGAAGCTCCGTGAAGCTACGGCTCTTTGTTCTGTTCACTGTGGTTCACATGGTGATAGTCAGGAAACGTTGAGGAAATGAATTAATGACTAAATCTTCTCTGCTAAACACCATCCAGGTTCGATTATGGAAGATATGTCCTATCTCTTTGCCTGGGAGCAGACTATTAGCCATGTTTCAGCTGACCAACAAGCTCACGTCAGCAGTGTCCCAGCCAAGGCACTCAGGGCTTAAGACACAAAGTAAAATGGTCCTCACCCTCTAAGATCTCAAGGTTAGGGAGGGAGACAGATGGAAAAACAGAAATCTTTCATATGATGCAGTGATAGAAATACATAAAATGGGCATAGACCAGCCTGCAGTTAAACTAAAACCTCCTAAAGGAAATCATGGCTGGACTAAATGTTGAATGACAGCTAAGTCCTAACGTGACTCCTACATGCATAAATAATAAGGAATTTGGATTAGGGCCACAGGATAAAATGATAACACTAGCACTTATTGATCACATTCTCTGTGCCCAGACACTTTCAATAAATTGACTTATTTCATCTTCCTCATAATGCCATCCGGTAGATACCATCATTATCACCAGTGTGCAGATAAAGAGGACACCAAGATTCTGCCTCAGAAAAAAAACACCGCATGACAGCAGCCATTAAGTAGAAGTATAAGATGGGAGTGAGAAAAAGGCATTCACATGATAACACCAGGGCACCAGGGCACCAAATACATCTCAAGTTCAACACATACGCGTTGTAGGTATCACAGCAAAGACAGAATGCAAGCTACACAGCATTCTCTAAATCACTGCGGCTTCTTCTATTATGAGAACAGGAAGGGTGAGCAGATACGTTCTATTACTACCAAATGTAACCCCCATTGAGCAGAGCCTGCAGGAACTCAAAGGACAGGCACATGAAAGTGACGAGAAAGAAAAAAACACATCTTCGTTAAAACAGTGCCATTGTACTCAGCTAGAAATGATGCTGTAAATGACTCCGGCTCACTTTCACGAAGGGTCACCAAGGACTATGTGTAAACCGTAGGGGTCTCCATAGGGCCACTTATTCCTTTATTTCTAAAGGAAAATGTGTTATAAATGAATAGACACACACAAAAAAAGGAAACTGGATCATCACCCAATTTTAAATTGGGGCTCTCCTATATAGTTATAAAAAAGAAAAACCTTGCTAAGTGTAATTTCAGATTCTTGAGATAATGTACAGCTTTACTGAAGATGCTATTGCCTCCTGACCTTGAGGACAAACAAAATGGTCCCTATTATGATGAGCTGAGGTAGATGCATTCACTGACATCATATGTCAGTATTAGTTGCCTTGCTGCTCAGAAAGTCCCCTGTGATAAAACAGCTGTTGAGGCTCCCAGAGAAAATATGACACAATTTGACAAATGAATGTTATTGTCTGTCAAGTGCTAATCGTCTGCCAAGTGTTCTGTGCACAAACCAGCTGACAAGAGTCCGCTGTGGCAAAAAAAAGTGGTGCTTAATACCTAAGTGAGAAAATTAAAAATTACCCAAGTGTTTGAAAATATGATAGCTTCAATACACTAAAATAAAACTGAGTTGATGAATAAGGAGCCGCTTGTAATCTCTATAAAATTATTGTAAAATAAATTAATTTTGATCCTTAAAATACCACACTAACAAATAGGTGGAGACAAGAAAAAGGCTGACTATTCTCTGAGAAATGCTAAAACCATGAAGGCCAATAAGTTAAAAATGTTTTAATTTCATGTTTCTATGTTATACTGTAAACAGTAGGAATGTCTGAATAGAATTTAAAAGGGTTTGTAAATAAAAGTTATTTCCAAGTGAGTCAGTTTTTAATGCACAACTGTATCCAAGTCTGGATTAATCAGGGTATCGGGAGCAAACGAGGTCACGAATAAACCAAAATTATGGTTTAAAACCATAATAAGAAGAAAAAAATAAACTAATTTAGTTAAAAGTGGCCTCTGATGTTCACACATGCATTTATCATTTTTTACTCATTCCCTTTAAAAATTGCAACAATATTTGGACAATATTTTAGGAACACAAAGCATCACATTAAATGTCTTCATGAGAAAGTGCCAGTAATTTATTATTTTAGACTGTTTTTTAAAGCAAGCTATTATTTTAGTCTGTTTCTTAGCTGAGCTCCCTTTTCAAATATTAACACAATAGGAACAAGAAGCTTTTCAGTATAATGATGATAAACCAGTACACGAAAGAAGTTTTAACATATACAAAATGCATTTTGTACAACAGGCTAAATCTCTTATAGAAATTATCACCTTTAATTCTCAAAAAAGCCCCTGTGAGATAGTACTATTATTATCCTCATTTCGCAGATCAGAGATTTTAAGTCATTTGCCCAATGTCACAGATACAGCAGGTGTCAGGGCAGGGGTGACAACCCAATGAACCTGACCTCTTAGACACCCATGCATTTCTCATGACTATCGCAATGAATTCGGTTATGCTGGCTTCACTAAAGCTGAAAATGCTGACATGCTCTACGTAATGGGAAAGTAATAGGAAACTCCTGAGACAATCAGGGGAGAGAAGCAGAAACAAAACGGGGGGAATGAAGGATGAGAGACAAAGAGCAGAGGGACACAAGGTGCTTCAAGACAGGTCCCCATATCCAGAGGAAAATCTACTACTAAATTCATGAAAAGATGGTTATTAGTGGATTTCCTGCGAAAGTTTTGAAGGGCCTGAACTTTGCCTTGCCTCAAAGTATAAAAGATTTGAATCAACACTCAAATGACCAGGAGGCAAAAATACCATAAGAAAGTAAGCTTTCAGGAAACTCCAGAAATACTGGTAGAAGGCTTTGGATTCTCCCATGTATGAACATGATGGGGTTGGAGGAGAACTAAATCACATGAAGGTCTTGGAGGGGCAGATAGTTCAGCTAATTCTGTAATTGAGTCAAGCAGAGAGGAAGTCCAGCTGCGTCTTTTTGCCGCCTCTCTTCCCTTCCAAATAATTTTGGATATCTTAGCATCATTTTTCTATATAGGCAACAGAATTAGTCAGACCAAAGTTACTGGTTTAATGGTTTTCTATTTAGATTTTATGTCATGCAGATTTAACCTGTGCTTTACATTAAAATTAGAATTTGGCTCCAAAAACTATGTCTCCACCACAGAATGTCTTTTCTTTAATCTTTTTAAAATTAGTTGCAGGTATATAAAACAATGTACTAGTTAGACATTTACACTCCTCAGACAGTGATAATCCCTCTCCCCCAATCTACTACCCCTCTGACATTGTATATAGCTGTTACAATTCCACTGACTCTATTCCCTATGCTGTACTCTGCATCCTGTGACTGTATATATATAAAATCATAGTTAAATTTCTTGAAGCGCCATTCCTCGACACAGCCAGCCTAACCTCATGGCTTCTGTGCTTTTAAGAAGAGGGAAATTTCAGAGCAGCATAATGGCTCCAAGCATAACAGGGAATTTTCTAGAGACACCAGACACTGGGCAGGGTGTGTGTGGACTAGAAATTCTGAGCATTGCATTTCAAATAGCATGTATTTATTCACACAATTTTTAAAAGTTCATCATGAGCTACGTTGCTACTCTGAGTTAGAATGTCATATTGGTCAAGTTGAAGAAGGATCTGAGTCAGGAACACAAGGGCTGCTGTGGTGTGAAAAAGTGAGGCACAGGTGAGGTTATACTAGATAGCTACTGGCAACCTAAAACTGTAAACAGGTAATCTTGATTCATCAAGCAGTAAGAGAAAAGAAGGGGCAGGGTGGACCAGAGTCTAGGTTTCTGTATTGGAGTGAATCTATAAAGAATGAATGATGAAGACAGGCTGAAGTGGAGAGAGCACCATGGAGAGCTCCAGGAAAACTGTTGATGCTCTGGTATCTTTTTTTTTTTTTTTCAGCTGAGCCATCCTGCTCTGGTATCTCCTTGGTCAGCTCTATTGCAGATGGGTCTACTTCTGAGTTTAAGGATGAAGGGCTATTAACTACCTCTCTAGATTGAAAACCCCTCCAAATAATAACGATGTCATCACCTACAAAATATGTCTCAATAGGCACACATGCAGATTTAAGAATGATATTATAGTCTTCCAAATGCCTAATCTGGGTACTTTTCCTTAGATGCCCCTAGGACTAACAAATGTCAGATTCACCAAGAATTTTTTAATTTTTCTAGAAGCATTATGCTAAGCATGTTCACACATTATTGCATAAAATGTTATTACATCAAAAGATGATTTTACAGCACCATAAAGAAACTGAGGCTCAAAGAAATAATTACTTGCCTCAGTTTAGACAGTATGCTCAGTTGCAATTATTCCAAGTCAATACTCTTTCTATGGTACCGAAGTCGGCACAGCATTTTAGGATAGCATTATCTCTGGCTTGATTTGGAACCTATGGCACAGAAGATAGTAATATCTTCCAAGCATTCACTTGCCACTCTACATGTCTACAGTTTCATTTAGGAGGGACCAGCTTACTGGAGTGTTGCTCAAGGACTCTATGAAAAAAGAAAGCCCTAATATTTAGCATTTTCCAAATTCTGTAGTGTAAATAC